TAAAACTGCTTGGCTTAAGGATGTTGGGGCCAGGGGTGGTGGCACATGCCTGTAATCCCAGCACTCAGGAGGCTGAGGCAGGGGGATTGTTGCAAGTTTGAGACCAGCCTGGGCTACAAAGTGAGCTCGAGGCCAGCCTGAACTGCATAGCAAGACCTTGTCTTAAAAGACAAGCCCCTGCAAAAAAGGATACTGGGATCTTGACACATGTTTCTCTGTTGCCCCCTAGAAGCTGTACCCAGGTTTGAGAGGCCCTCTTCTTCACAACCCCTGCTAGGCCCATCTAGGTTCTGATGCCTGATTAGCAAAGTTCGTCTCCAAGTTTGAATAAAAACTTGACTTGTTTCTCTAGGATCATGAATAGTAGCATACAACTAGTGTGTTATCAACCAGCCTAGTATTGTTCATGTGAATAACTCATATTTCTGGACCTTACCTTGAGTAAAAAGCTTATAAAGAATATAATTTTAAAACTGTTCATTTCCCAATGCATTATAATTGCAAAGTTTAGAATAGGAGAATAAAATCTTGCATAAAATAACTTTTTAAAACACAGATCAAATATAGAACATACTCAGAATTGGGGGAAAACCAAATATTAGTTTCTCTATTTCTTAGACAAGAAAGTAAAGGCATTAGAAGGAGGAATAGTCACCTAGAATCCAGATGACTTAGGTTCTAGTTCTGCCCCTAACTAGTTGGCTCTGTGTCCAGAACATACCATCTACACCCTGGGCATCAGTGTGTGTGTGGGGGGGGTGCCTCGAACTCAACGTTCTCTCTAGTATCTTCCAGCTCTCAAATTCTGAGTGATTTGCACTCACCGCTGAGTCAATGAGAGAAGCAGAACAAGCAAAGAGGCCTCCCGGCACTGCTACCCATCCATTACCTGCAAAGGTAATGCAGTGGCTTGCAGTTGCATGGTTTGTACACTGCATAAAGTCTAGGAGATGAGAGGGACTTAAAAGCTCACCCCAGGTCTGGTCTCCAGGCTCCCGACCCTGGCCTGGGCTGCAGGGGCCAGCAGAGTTGGTGCCTTTCTCTAATCAGCCCATTTGCAGTGGGCATGCTTTACCTGAAGACTGGAGGTGACCATGTAATGTACAGTAGCCGTGAAGAAGCATCTCTTTTACCACTGTTTTCATTGTAGCGCTCCACTCTGGAATTTGGCTTGGCTTGGCATGCAGAAGAATGCGATAAGGGACTATTTGAACCTAAAATAGGCATGATGAGGACAGAGCCATCCTTGGAAGATTCTTATGTACTATGGCAGGCAATCGTAATTTTAAATACACTTTTAGCTTAAAAAAATCCAGTTAAGTCAGACGCTATTAAAGGAGGGAAGGATGAAAGGAGATCACAAAAGGGAGGAACTGAGGAGAGGGAGTGAGTGACTACAGAAAGAAACTCTGCTTATCTTTGCCCTCTACGCAGTCAGGAGTTGGAGTGTCTCCCTGACTAGCTCATCAGACATGACACCAAAGTCTAATTGCAAAACATTGTGCAAACCTGTGACCTACAGCCAAACCACCACGAAGACTTGTCACTTGCTCCTCCTCAGTATTCTTCAAACCTGTCCACTTCTCCCCATCAACACGGCCTTACCCACGTTCAGACCACCATTATCTTCTGGGTCGCGCCACAGCCTCTGCCTCCAAACCAGGCACACCTCAGCCTCGGGAGCCTTTCGAAAGCACAGTTCTGATCATTCCCTTCTGTCCTTCACAGACTTCAGCACTTCACATTTCCCTTAGGACGAAGGGCTCACTAAAACTGCCTCCTGTGGCCCTTCCTTATTTGGTGCCTTTTACCGCTTTTGTCTCATTTTGACGGTGTCTGTCCTTTGCTCTATTTGTTTCTGCAGCAGCAGTGGGGCTTCCTCATGGAAGAGGTATTTCTCAGCCACCCTTAGGAAATCTATGCGCTTTTAGAGTCCCAAGAAAAATCAGTTGAGAAATCAGGAAATCATCTTTTTTTTTTTTTTTTTTTTTCCTCCGGTACCAGGAACCGAACTCACGACCTTGCACTTGCCAGGCAGGTGCTTTGCTGCTGAGCTAAATCCCCAGCCCTAGGAAATCATCTTATAAGAATTAAAGCTTAATAATAAACATAAGAGAAGAGCTTTCTTTTTTGTAGTCAGTCACTCCCTCTCCCCAGTTCTTCCTTTTTGTGACCTCCTTTGCTGCTTGTTGAAAAAAGGGGCTCAGAGTCAACATTTCTGGGCAGAAGCAAAGGGAACTGCAGTGACGGCTATGTACTCTGCCAGCCCTGCGGTAGTGTGTGCTAATGGCACTGTCTTCTAACGGCTGATTAATTCTTGCGAACTCACAAAATATCCCCTTGACCAGATAGAATACTTAATACAATAATTCCCTACCATTTTGTCTGTAATTTGGTAAGCCTCCCCTATTATTATGTTATCCTTCTTTTACTCTTTAAAATAAAAAAAGAAAGAATACTTAATACAAATGTTCTCAGTATATGCCAAGAAATAAGCTGTGGAGTACTCTATGGGCTGAAAGTACGGATGTGTCTGACAACCCAGCCTAGCTTTCCCCTCTGAGACTTACTGTCTGCTCTCCCAGCAGGTCACCCTTGATCTTGACCTGTGGTCCAGGAGCTACGCCCCTGTGCTCTGTTAACACAGCTCTCCTAGCATTTATCACCTGCGTGGGATAATTATCACCTCGGTGACCCCCAAATTAACCACACCTGGTTTCCATGACCTTGTGTTGTCCTCTCCCACAGGGACCATGGGTTTGTTCCTGTGACTTGCTTTGGCCATTGGAAGGTAAGAGTGATACAAGCATACTGGGGATACTTCTCTTAAGAAAATCTGAGATAAGTTTATTTCTTTATTTTATTTATTTAACAAAGTTTATTTAAGTAAGAAAAATATCGATAACCAAGGACTTAAAAAATAACCTGCCTTACACCTGTGCAGTAAGAAGCAACCTGATTGCCTGTGGTCACCATTTGCCTATGTAGACATGGTCTATCACTTAGCAGCCTGTGACTGGCTGAAGCTTGGCTGAAGATTAAAACTCAGCTTTCTGTTAGAAGAGTATACTCTTAAGATAGCTTGTAGTTTGTTGGTATACTAAATTAGCTTTCAGTTAGCTACATATGGAGGTGGGTTTGAGCCAAATATTATCACCCAAGTATGGAACTAGACTTAGATCAAACTCATCAGTTTAACCAAAACTGGCCACGGCATGCTGAAGAACCTACTTGAGACTGTGATGAATACTTGACTGCTGGCTTGACTACTATGTGACAGGAAGCCCTTGGGCATGAGAGGCCAGGTTGGACCTTCCTGCCAAGCTCCAACTTAATGCAGCAAAGAACAAGAGCTCCCTAGATGGGCCCCATCCACCACAGAACTGTTAGAAATAAGAATTACTGCATTTTGAGCCAGTGAGTTTTAGAATGGTTTTGTACACCAATAGATAGGGTAAGAATCCTATATTATAATTACCTGTTACTCGTCTGTCTTCCAGTCAATTGTAAGTTCTAGGAAGACAAATTCAGGGTTTGCCTTTTTCTCAGAAGGGGCTCAATAAATACTTCTGAATGACTTCTCAAGTGTCCTGAGGGTGAGACAGATGTGGTACCGCTGACTCATGATCAACTAGCATTAAATGGAGTGATTAAACATTTTGATTCTGTTGGCACAGAAATCATTATGAAAGGGAGAAGACACCAAACCGTGGCTTTCTGTATCTCTTGTCATACCTAAAATACCACATCTCGTAAAAAGGAACTCTTATTTTTAAGAGTTGTTACTTTTTGAGACAAGGTCTTCACAAAGTCGCTAAAGTGCCCATGCTGGGCTCATATTTGTGATCCTCTTACCTCAGGCTCCAGAGTGCTGGGACGACAGACAGGCACCATATGCCTCCATGTCCAGCTAGAAAATTGGTGATGTGTTACTTCTCTGAGCCTTCTTGTTGTTCTTTGGAAGCCAATTTAAGTCCCAACTGGCAACTTCTCTTAGGAAAGTTTGGAAAACACCTTCACTTCCAAACATGTAAAAGATCGAGATGGAGGGAAATGGAGAATGGTGGAAGGAAAAGAAAACTAGGACTTGACCCATGCTGACATGTTTTAATCAAATCAACCACCTTCTTAGCAGCCCAGCAGGAAGTGATCCCTGCTTCTTCTGAATTCCTTGAAGAATTTTATCTTCACCATCTGGCAATTAATCACTCAGCACCCCTGGTATCTTTTCTCTTGTCTTCTTTGCATTTGGCCCTATCATTTAATTTTTTGCAGATTTATGTCTGGCTTCTTTTTTGTGTTCCCACAGACGGGTCACAGGGGATGGTTTTGCTCGCAGCAAGGCTAATGAAAAGAGGCCAGGAAAGACACAGGGGTCTCTCTTGCTGGTGAGAGACAGTAACTAGTGGGACAGAATCCTGGAGGAGCCCAGTGAGACTCTTTCTAAGAATATCCTCAAAGAAAATACTTCCGTGCTGAGCAGCATGATTTCTGGACTCCTTCCTGCCACACGTCTCAGAAATAGACCCACGTTATCCAGAGAAACATCAGCCAGAGCAACCCCTCTACCTCTCTCCAGTGAATGCTCTTGTCTAAAATGACTGAAACATATTCTCAAGGAAAGGACCCGCTCCAGGGCTTACTCCACCTTTGCCACTTTCTTATTCAAAGTCCTTTTACGCTAACGTTTCCTCCTAAAGTCTAGGAGGTATCAAGGCTTCATGCTAACCTTGGGCAGCATAGCCCCTTTCCCTTGTCTCTGGAAGTCTCCATGCTCTGTGCCTATTTCCACCAGTGGCAGATGGAATTCTTTCCAAAATGGTGCCCATGATCCCAGCCAGGGCATACAGGCCCTGAATAGTCCCTCTCCTGAGTGTAGGTGGCACTTGCAAAAAGAGATGGCCACTCCTTTGCTTAGGTTACATGACATGGCAAAGTGACAGGATATGTCTATTACATCACATATGTCTCTTTCAAACAGACTGAAGGGAGGGTGAAGGGAGAAAGGCCGTCCTCCCGTTGGATTTGGGGAAACAAACGTCTGTGAAGCATGGGAACCGCACGACTAGGATGCACATGTGGACTCCCGAGGTTGACAGTGACTTCTGCTGACAGCCAGCGAGAACGTGGAGACTGCCCAACTCTTTTTTTTTTTTTTTTTTTTTTGCGGTACCAAGGATCACACTCACAACCTCGCACTTGCCAGGCAGTTGCTTACACCACTGAGCTATATCCCTAGCCCCTGACTGGGCCCCACTCTGCAAAGAACTAAGTTCTGCTGACACCAGTGAGCGTGGAAGAGGACCTCAAGGCCTGGGTGAGTTCACAGCCACAGTGAACCCCTGGATTCTAGCCTGGAGGCCCTGGGTACAGAAACTGACACAAGCAGTGTGTGTGGTTTTGAGCCACTGTGTGTGGTAGTTTGTTGCCTAGCAATGGAAAATGAATACAAACCTGCTATGGTTTGAATGTGTCCCCCAAAGTTTATGTGCTGGAAACTTAACCCTGAAATTCTTGTGTTAGGTATTTGGAGGTAAAGGCTTGGGTGAAGTCGTGAGGAAGGGGCCTCCATGGCATTTGTGGCTTTAGAAGAGGAGAGAGACCTGAGTGAGCACATCCGTTATCTCACCACGTGAGCCCTCCCTCTACCATGCTGCGATCCTGCATGAAGCCTTCAGCAAACACCAACAGATGCAGGCACTGTGCTCTGGGACTTCCCGGCGTCCAGAACTGTAAGTCAATAAACCTCAGTTCTTTATTAATTGCCCAGACACAGGTGTTTTGCTAGAACAACAACGCAGACTAAGGCACTCATTTCCCTCCTTGCCTCTACTCTCAGTCTGTTGGGAGGAAGAAGGCACCAGTCAAAGAAGTCACCCTCAGCTGAGGGACTGGTAAAACCGAGTAGCATTTTCCTCCAGGGAGATCTATTTTTGCACTGGGAAGTGCCTTACTATTCCCCTCTGTGCCATCATCTCCTCTGCAAACCCCAAACAGACCGAGCATCACCGTTGCCAGGAGCTCTCCAGAAGGGTCCTCTTGGCCCTCATAATTAGCCTGCCAGGCGTGACTTGCACATTATCGCCTTCCCAGAGACACACCTCTCCACCCAGGTCTTTGCATCAGACAGAAAACACCATGGGCACTGCAACTCAAAGTTCCCTGACTCTGAATTCCCTGCTCTTTTCACTGTGTACTGCGCAATTGAACTTTTCCAAATCTTGAGATGGGATATTAGAAAGAGGAGACTCCCCAAATTACAAACTAGCTTGACCCTGACCCTGTCTTAGAAGCTGTGGCCTCAGGGCTTGAAGAAGGCTTGGAGAGGAAGGAAACCAGTTTACAAGGTATGGCAGCTGGTCTCTTGTCTGTGTCTGACCTCATTCCCCGCTAGGACACCACACAGGGACCAGGACTCTTTCTTTTGTCTTGGAGGGCTGGAGCTGGGCTCAGGGCTGTCCCCAGCCTCCGCTTTCCTTCCCGTGGCCCCTCACACAGCACCAGGACCAGAAGGGTCGCTATCCTTGGTAGGAGGGACAGTGACTACTGGGGGAGGGAGAGACCACTTCTCCTCCATCAGGAGACACGATGGTCCTTCTCTGAGCACAGGTGAGCCCGGACAGGAGGAGAGGGGAGGAGAAAGAGGGTACTTCCTAGGAGCGCCATCTTGTACTAGTGGTCCCTTTAAAAAGCAAGTAAGAAAGACAAAAGGTGACCCTGAGGCATGGAAGCAGGGTAAAAAGGAAGTGGGAGAAAGTACCTGGAGTGGGTAAGAGAGGAAGGGAGGTGACAGTAGGTGACAGGGTCCAAATACCAGCGAGCCTGACACCTTCACTACAGACCAAAGTCTGCAGCACGGAAAACTGTACCTCCTTCCTTCCTTCCTCCTTCCTTCCTTCCTTCCTTCCTTCCTTCCTTCCTTCCTTCCTTCCTTCCTTTGTTTCTTTCTTTCTCTATCTTTTTCCTTAGAGATGAGAAGAAAGAAATAATATTCAAACAGTCAAAGTCCCAAATCTGGGATCCTTTCTGAGAAATGCTGAGAACAAGGTAATGAAGTTCTAGTTCCTAGAGAGATCGGCCCGTAGCCCTGGCTCGGGGCTGTTTCCCTAACGCTGCCTGTCCACACTGATAGCATGTGCTGTTCTTGGGCAGTCTGTGGGGTACATTTTTATTTGCTTTGTTGTCTTTATTTGTTCATTTTTTGTATACTTATTTCCCCTCTTGCCTCCAAAGCTGGAGCAGGGAATGGTCCTTTGTTTCCCGTCTTCGACATAGAACTACCCTTGGGCATCACAGCAGGATCCATAAGCAGCACAGGACCCATCCCTGTGTCCTCCCTTCTCCCGCTCCCCACCAGAGTTTCTGAAAAAAACTACCAGACTGCCTTTGCTCTTCCCCTTTTGCCAAGCAGTGAACGTGGCCCTCTCCACAGTGTTTTCTTATGAAATGCTCAAGCACTCAGCGGAGTGGGAAGAATCTTGTAATGGACATCTACTTCCCACATTCTAGAATTAGCATTTTACTAAGTTGCTTTATGACCTGTCTACCCACCTAGCCATCTCCCTGCCTAATATCTTTCTGTCAATTTTTAATAATGCATTTTGAAGTAAATTACAGTCCCCCGAATACTTCAGCATGTGTCTGATGAGTGGGAGTTCAGTATTTGTTGGTGAATTATTTTCTTCTGCTGTAAAATTTACATGTGACGAAATGCACACATTTTCCGTGTATGTTGGTGGAGTCTGGAAGTGTATAGCAGCTGGTAACCTAAACCCAGGGCAACACCAAGAAACTTATCCTCACTCCAAGACAGTCCCTTCCCAGTCAGCTCCTGTCCCGGCTCCAGTCCCAGAAGCCTCCCTATTCTGATGTTTTCCATGACAGATTAACTTTTTCCTCTTCTAGAAGGCCCTACTGATGCAGTGATACTGCTTACACCCTCTCATCTGCAGATCCTTTTTCTCAGCCTGATGCCTGCGGGATCCGTCAGGCAGTCTTTCACTGTTGGACTGATTCCCTCACGTGGATATAATCTGGTGAACTTACCCACTCTGCTCTTTGCAGCACCCAACTACTGTCTGTATGTGTTGTAGAGAAGTTCAAGTTAAAAAAATAAAAATGAAATGAACAACAAAAATACCCAACACAAGTGCATACCTGCACACACACACCTGCACACCCAAAACACACGTAACAGATTTTGAAAGTTTAAATTTTGTTATCTTTCTTACATATAGTTTCTAACAGTATATATTTAAGAGCACAATGTAAAGAGTAGAAAATGTTTTGGATAAAGAGACTAGACTTATAAGTAATTAGCCCATTAATTAATTTCTTAAGAATAAAATTGGGCACACAGCTGGGTGTGGTGGCACATACTCGTAATTCCAGCTACTAGGGAGGCTGAAGTAGGATTGCAAGTTTGAAGCCAGCCTGGACTATTTAGTGAGACTCTACCTCAAAAGTAAAAAGTGCAGCGGAGAGGTGTGGCTGAGGGATGTAGCACTTGCCTAACACGTATGAGGCTCTCAGTTCAGTCTCTAGTACCCACCTCAACTCCCAAAGGACACACAGTAGTAGAAAACTAGTTGTTCTTTATTCCAGGCTGGCATAAAAGTACAGTTCAGATAGATAAAGATAATGTACTGTACATCTGAAAAGTCCAGAAGAAGGAATTTTGGGTTATTTTACTGTAAGGCAATGATAAATGAATTAGCAGATATATGTAACTTCATTTAAACATTACACAAGGTATACATGCATTAAAACATCGTATGGCAAACCATTAAAATATGCAATTTTATGTTTTTATATGTCACTTAAAATTTTAAAAATACAGCTTAGAACAATGGGAAAATATACATTTCTAATGATGAGATTCCAGATGGAATACAGGAGTAATAAAAAGTAGCTCTTTATTCTCACCAAGAAAAGTCATTGCAGATTTCTTACTTGGTAGTTCATTGATGGTGTACAGTAATGCTATTTATTTTTGTGTGTAGGTTTTGTATCCTGGTACATTGCTGCATTTCCTTATTAATTCTAGGAGTCTTTTGGTGGATTTTTTGTTTGTTTGTTTGGTCTTCTATGTAGAGGATTGTGTCATCTGCAAATAATGGTAATTTAACTTGTTCCTTTCCCATATATGCCTTTTTTCTTTCTCTTGATTGCTCTGGCTAATGCTCTGAGAACTATATTCAACAGGAGTGGTGATACAGGACATCTTTTTCTTGTTCTTGATTTTAGAGGGAAAGCTTTTGGCTTTTCTCCATTTAATATGATGTTGGCAGTCGATGGGTCACAAGAGGCTTTTGTCATTTTCAGGTAAGGTTAGGGTTAAGGTTAGGGTTACCTGTTTTCTTCAGGGTCTTTTAATCCTGGCTGGATGTTGTATTTTGTCAGAGTTTTTCTGTATTGATTGAGATGATTGTGACTTTTAAGATGATTTTTATTCTTCTATTTTTGTGGTGTATTACATTTATTGATTTGCATGTGTTGAACCATCCCTGCCTCCCTGGGATGAAGCCTACATTGTCATGATGAGTGATCTTTTTGATGACATGTTGCACTTTGTTCGCAGTACCTCGAAGATGTCATCCTGTAGTTGTCTCTTTTTGTTGCGACACTTTCTGGTTTTGGTATCAGGGAAATTCTAGCTTCTAGGAATGAATTTAGCAGCACTCATTCTCTTTAAGGTCATGGAAATGATTGAAGCACATTGATGTTAGACCTTCCTTGAAGTTCTGGTAAAATTCTGCGGTGAATCCACTAGGTCCTAGGTGTTTCTTAGTTTGTAAGGTTTTCACTGTTGCCTCAATTTTATTATCTATGATCGATCTATTCAACATTTTTATATTTTCCTGGTTCAGTTTGAGTAATTCTTATGTGTCTAGGAATTTGTTCCATTCCCAAAGCTTCAAAAAAATTAAATACTTAGGAATTAACCTAAACAAGGAAGCAAAAGATCTCCATAATGAAAAGTATCATACTCTAGGGAAAAAGACTGCAGAGGACATTAGAAAATGGAAAGACATTCCCTGCTCCTGGACAGGCAGAACTAATATTGCCAAAAGGGCCATATTACAAAAAATTATATATAGATTTAACACAATTGCAATCAAAATACCAACAGCATTCTTTACAGAACTAAAAAAAAAATCCTAGAGGTACAACCATAGGAGCCCCAGAAGAGTCAAACCATTCATAAGCAAGAAGAACAAAGCAAGAACTTGTGTTTCAAATTGACTACAAAGCTAGAGTAATAAAAATCCAGCAGGATACTGGCACAATGATAGAGGTGTCAGCCAGTGGAGTAGAGTTGAAGATGCGAAAATGGTGCCAAACACCTCTGATCAGCTTATTTTTTACAAAGATGCCAAAAACATATGTTGGAGAAAAAGTAGCATCTTTGATTTAACAAATGGTGCTGGGAAAACTGATTACCTACTGTAAAGAAGAATGAACTAGATCCATATTTCTCACCCTGTACTAAAATCAAATCAAAATGGATCAAAGAGCTAGGTATAAAAACAGAAACATTAAATCTGCTGGAAGACAAAATAGGCAAAATTTATGATGACATAGGCATAGGTAAGGAGTTTCTGAACAGAACCCCAATTGTAGAAGACACCCCAAATTGCACAAGAATCAACAAAAGGGATTATAGCAAATAAAAAAGCTCATGCACAGCCAAGGAAATAACCATTGCAGTAGAGAGACAACGTACAGAATG